GTTTATTATTTCAGCATGAACTGCTAGCTTTGAATGTTCGTTTAGCAAATTAAAATTAATTTTGACATATTTACAATCAATGATGGGACAAGATCACCTGACTTAGCATTTTTAAGTGTGGAAAGAGAAAATTTTGAAATGATCAAATTTAATGAAGTAATTGATAAATTTGCTTCATTGAAGGCAAGAAGAATATCATAATTAATTGTATTAATGTATTATACTATTGTTATTATTATTAAATATATCTACTTTTATATAAGATATATTAACTTTTTCATTGTTTAAAAACTGTACACCTTTTAAAACAGTTATATAAATGTGTAAAATAAATAATATCTTTATAATTAATTCTAAATGACCATATGTCCTTTTTTTCCACTGACACAGCCACATTTCCGAATTCATTCCTCTAGTCTTATTTTTTTAACTAGATTTTTTGCCTCAAATTTAAAGCCTAATCAGAGCCTGTGTCCCTACTTATCCCGAAAAGCAGTATAGTATTTTATAAAACCATAGTTAGGTAGTGACTATTCGTAATATATTATGAGTGTTTTAAAGTAAATGTTGTATTCTTTTATTATTTGTATTAAATTTTTATTACAAGTATGTTCTATGTATTATTTTAATATATATATTTTTTTTTTGGGGGGGGAGGTGCCAATAAGGTATTGTGCCCTTTGCACCAGTTATGCTTGCTACACCAATGTCCTTAACCAAAAATTGTGCTCTGCTCAACCGTTTTCACAAAAATGTTAAATGCAGTATGTAAAACCTTTAAAAAACTATACTAAAGCTATAAGGTACAGTGTCTCACAAAAGTGATGGGACACTTGTGCTTTACGAAAGGAAACTAATAAAATAAATTAAGAAACATGTAAAAATTTTTTGTGGGTGTGTTTCATACTTAAATTTAGTAACAATTATTACATAACATACATTTTCTCAAAATATTAAAATATTAATTTAATAAAAATACAATTGTTTAGAACGGAGCAAAAAAAGGCTCACATAAGTGATGGGACACCATTAGATACTACTACGTACTACAATAAAAATATTTTTTGGGGTTTTTATTTTTACTTAAAAGCAATTGGCAATAATTTATAAAATCGTCTGTAGTATTTCTCTCCAGTTTGTTTTGGAATTTTTGTGTTTTTAGCTCTGTGTAGCCATGAATGCTAAACGAAAAGAAACTTTGCCTGAAATTTGAAAATTAGTTATTAATTTGCATATTGAACGTGGAAAATCTATTAAAAAAACTGCTGAAACAGTTAACTTGAGTCATTCAACAGTTTTCAATATCATTAAACGATATAAAAAGAATCATATGATTCAAGATAAAAGAAGACTTGGCCGACCATCAAAGCTATCCAATGGAATAAAGCGAATTATCATTCCAAATAAAAAAAAAAAAAAAAGAATCCAAGAATGAGTGCTCCTAAAGTTGCTGCTTATTGACAAGCATTATATGGAGTAATTGTTAATCCTGAGACTATTAGAAGAGTAATTCGATCTGCTGGATATCACGGTAGAGCAGCCAGGAAAAAATTCTTTGTAAATGAAAAGAATAGAAAACTCAGACTGGCTTTCGCAAAATCAAACATAAATATGAATTCTGATTACTGGAATGAAGTTATATTTGCTGATGAGAGTAAATTTAATATATTTGGTTCTGACGGTAGAATCTTGGTGTGGAGAAAACCCAGGGAAGAATTTCACAAACAAAACTTGGTGCCAACAGTAAAACATGGTGAAGGAGGAGTTATGGTATGGGGGTGTATGTTGTCCGCTGGAGTTGGTAATCTTGTTTTTATTGACAGTATAATGGATCAGTACAAGTATATTGACATTTTAAATCAAAATTTGAAATCTTCAGCACGAAAATTGAACCTTCATAACGATTTTAAATTCTACCAGGACAATAACTACAAGCACACTGCTTTGAACGTTAGACTCTGACTGCTGTATAACTGTCCTGAAATAATAAAAACACCACCACAATCTCCAGACTTAAATCTCATAGAAGAATATTTGGCAAAAAATTGGAATCAAGAATTCGCAAACACACCATTTCTTCAAAACAACAATTAAAATCGGTGCTTCAAGAAGGATGGGATAAAATCACTCCAGAAATCACAAAAAAATTAGTCGAATCCATCCCAAGAAGATTAAATCATGTTTTAAAAGTAAAAGGAAATCCAACAAAATATTAAAACCTTTTAAAAAGTAAAATTTTTGGATAAATATTTGATGGAAAAGTAAGTGTCGGACACTTACTTTTCCATCAAATATTTATCCAAAAGTCATTTTTTTGCTCCGTTCTAAACAATTGTATTTTATTAAATTAATATTTTAATATTTGAAAAAATGTATGTTATGTAATAATTGTTACTAAATTTAAGTATGAAACACACCCACAAAAATTTTTTTCATGTTTTTAAAATTTATTTTACTACAGTTTCCTTTTGTAAAGGACAAGTGTCCCATCACTTTTGTGAGACACTGTATATAGACAGTCTGGGACTAAAATTATTAATTTATGTTCATAAAATTTACAGACTAATAATTAATATTTATGCTAGTAAAATTACATTGAAAAATCATTACAAAAAACGAAGAAAGAGAACATACTACTTAAAAGCTGGGAATGGTTTATTAATACTGTTTTATGAATCAATTAAAGGGGATTAAATATATTTTGACTATGTGCATCAGTATAATAGTCCTGATTTGAAAATACTCCATTACTTGCTGTTCTGTGGAAGGCAGGTCTCAAATTTTAATCCTTTTCCTCAAAATAATGCAAAAAACATAGAAATAACAATTAATTTACAAACTTCTTTACAAAATGTAACTTAGTTTACTGAAGATCAAAGTTACATAAAAACAAAACGAAGCTCTTATGAATGTATTGTAACATCATGCTTATCCATTATGGTGATATATTGCACTGTTTGGCCAATATTGCTGAAAATGGTTGACAGCTAAATATATTAAGTATTGGATTTTTTTGTATTTGGAATTTAGAAAGTATAACCCTCCACTATATAAGTGTTTGATATTTTCACTGAGGATTCACTTTTGGTAGTTCGTTTATTAATGTTGGAGCTCTGTGTATATGTATCATGCATTTAAAATAAAATAGATTACTGAATTTAATTATTCTGACAAACTGCAGATGTAAAATCAAGACTGGCAAATTTCTGCCAAAGTAGGCTGCTTTCTGACTGCTAAAAGTAGTATAGTTCAACTGCCTTACCCGCGATCATAAGTGCAGAAATGCATGTATCATTTGGACCGCATTATTCTCAAAATAGGGTGTGGAAAGAATGGGATTTTCTTTTCCTCAAGCATATAAATTCTCTGTTTGCAGAGAAGAGACTTTCACGTGACTTTTCACATCGCAGCAAGTAATAGCAACCCTATGGACGAGGCTATTTTTCAGGCTATGTCATCATTGTGAAGTTATAAAACCTTCATTCGGTATTATTTCATTTAGATTAGATCACCATGTACAAACTGAAACAAGTTGTAAGATTTCTTTGATAAAATACGTCTAATGGAAAACAGCTAATTCTGCTTGTAAAAGTGGAAAGCTGAGCACAAAATATGGATTTATGCCAAGTTCGTTTTTTCCTTTCCAATTTAGATTTCATATTTATTGGTGAGCTAGTATATTATGTTGAAATTTTATCTAACTGAATATGTTTTTAACCTGTTTCTCACAAGCTTTCTGAACATTATTGTTATTCATACCTGTCAACTAATTTCTCAAGTACAATCAAAAGTCGTTAATCTGGACTTGTCGGGACTTCGGCGATTCCGGATTATAGATTTTTCCGGATTATAAATCATCAGTTTAAATCTGGTAAGATGGCATGCAGAAATTATAAAATCAAAAATATGAAACCGTAATTTATGAAATAAAGAACAATTATGATCTAAAGGGTATCAAAATTTACAAAAAAGAAGCTTAATATTTATTTGTTTACTTTATTAAACATTTCTTTCAATGTAAGTAGTTTAAGTTGCTTCGTTTTATGTGATAATGCTTTCTCTTTAATTCTATAAACAGACATAATTTCTTCTTCAGTTACAAAGTTCCGCTGTTTATGTCCTATAATTGTTGTGTCGAGAATACCGACTAATTTGTCAATTGAAATTTTTTCGTTTTCAATAACCTCTGTGTCACTTTCTTCACTATTGGAAGCAAATTATAACGACAAGGAATTTGATTTAAATCATATCAAAGATGGAGTACATCAAGATGAAATACTACATTTAGTAAGGAATTATAAGCTAAATAAAATAAAAACATCTGCCCTGAAGATAAGGATAGTGCTGACAGATTAACTTCCAATTCATTGCACACTGCAACGTTTTCCCCCTTTCGCTTTCTAGATCCTTTACATATTAGTAAATATATATCGGAAATTCTATTCGACATAATCGAAAGTTCAAGCTTACTTTTATAAAATTGCTCTAACAGTCTGCAAAAAATAATAAGCCGGATCCAATTCGAAGATTAAGGAACAACGCAATCTGCAACATTAACTGAATTAGATAATTTTAGCTTAGCTTATACTGTCCGTTATACATAAAACGCGCATGCGTAAACATATTATGCGTATGCGCGCACGCATATTCTCAGCCGTAAATGTCTTATGCGACGACGCATGCACTGAAAGTTCGTAGCTTTGTCCGGATTATAGATCATTCCGGATTATGGGTGTCCGAATTAACGACTTTTGACTGTATTTGCAAAATAAGAATAATTTCTTGGATCTCGTTCAGTACATTGTAATAAACAAATGTGCATTGTGCATATTTTGTTTTTATCTTTCGTTCCTTTAATTCTATAAAATCACAATTATAATATGAGTAGTTAATAAAAAAGTATATATTTCATGAATTTGATTTTTTATGTATGAATTTATTTTTAATCAAAGCATTTTTATTTTGAAAAAAATAATAAGTTTCTTCATTTTTGTTATTAGGCTAAGCAACTTATAAGACAGTATAAATTATATCTTAGTGATTTGGAAGAATGTCCAGAGGTATATTTTCTTTCTTTATTTCACTTTTTATGTTTTTTATTTTATTATATAAATGACTGAGTATCTCTCAAAGATGTATGTTACCTATGTTTATGTGGGTTAATTTCTTCCATTTCATCTAAATTTTCATGCTTGATTTTTTGAAGCTTAATTTTATAATTTAATTTCAGTTGGATTTTGTTTTTGATGGAGCTGATGAAGTAGACTCGAATTTAACACTTATCAAAGGTGGTGGTGGTTGTCTAACACAAGAGAAAATAGTTGCTTCTTGTACTCAGAATCTGATTATCTTAGCTGATCATAGGTAATTGTATATGTATAGATTTTATTTTTTTCTTAGGCAGTATGTTGATAATTTAACTTGTATTATATATTGTTTCAAAAGAATAAATTGAATTTAAATACAAATTTAATTAATTCTTTGTGCCATTGCTGCAAGGAATGAAATTTAAATTTTAACTAACATGTATATACATAAAAAAGCTAATTTAAAGTTAAAATAATTAAAAAAATGTGCAAATATATAAAAGATTTAATTTTCGAACTAATCTACAATATCATTTAAATTCAGATAGCATAAGTAAAACAAGCGCAAAACCAAACCATGCAAATGAATTCACCAATTTAGCAAATTAAAATTAATCTAAATTTTTTTTAAAAAATGCATAAGTGAATGACTGTTGAGCAGGTAGGAGACAGACTAATCAAGACTTTATCAAGTTGACTCCAAACCTAACTCTTCAGTCATTCAATTCGTGTTTTGTCATTCATGCAGGCAAGGGTAAAAGTCAAAACCAAAAATAAATACATAGTGAAGAATGTTCAAAAAGAAATACCAATAATGTGGTACCTTGAGAATTTAGCAATTAAAAATTAAAGATTATACCAATAATGAAGTATTTTGAGAAATAAGCAATGTAAAGTCTAGTATTAAATTAAATTTTTTTAAAAAATTAAATTTTCCAGAAAAATTAATTTAGAATTTAAATGATATTGTTGATTAGTTCAAAAATTAAATCTTTTATATGTTTGCACATTTTTTTTAATTATTTTAACTTTAAATTTGCTTTTTTACATATATATATGTATGTTAAATTTTGTATTATGTATTAGTATTTTTGGTACTATTCCGTTTTAAGGACCATAAAAAAATTATAGCGAAAATGTATGTGCAAAAGCGCCAAATCTAGCAAATGCGCCCATTTAAACATCATGCCAAATCTAGCGTACGCTCTGATTTCAGATTGCATAAGTTTATATAGTTCTATATTTAAGACGCCATTGAAATACTAGTTTGGTTTTTAAAATCTTTTTTGATTTTAAATCCTTTTTTAATATCCTATGGATTTAACAATTTGGGAATTGCCCATGACGAACTGTGTGCAGTTGAATTTTGGGTAAATTGCAGAATCACCCACTACTTGACGCGTTTTTAAGAATTGCACATACTCGGTATCCATGTACACATCAACCTATTTTCACTTTAAAAAAAAAATCCCAGAATTGCACAAAAATGGCACTGCGCACACCCTTGACTTTATCTATGTACACATCAACATATTTTCACTTAAAAAGTAAAAGAAAATTGACAAAAATCCAATTGTTTTTACCCTTGTAAAAAGCGGCAAACAAATAAGTGGGTGATTCTGTACTTTAAAACCGATACATTTTTCAAAGAAAAGGCATCATTCATTATAAAACATTATGTTTGAACAACCAATGAGATGAAAGTATGCTTTAGCGATAACTCGGTTGCGAAATAGCGATGCAGGCATCCATTCAGTTATGTTTAGCAATTTTTATATAAATTATAATAATGATCTGAAATAGTTATTTACTCTTATGCTTCCATTTAGTCATGTTTAGCCTTTTTTATATAAATTATAATAATAAAATGCATTACATGAAATTTACCTTTCATCTGAATTAAAACATTAATCTTAGATAGTTATTTACTATTATACTTCCTTTCTTGCGTTAGGGTTGCCGCAATTATTTTTGACATCAACAATAGTTTGGCGATTTTTTACGGCCCTCAGAACCAAATAGTACCGTATTTTTTACTGAGGTAGAATTTATCAGCTCATATTAAAAAGTATGATCTAAATGTAGCTACTTGTTTAAACTTTATTTAGTTAAATTGATCTGGCATCACTGAAATTCCTATGAGGTAGCTACAGAAGCTTCAAATTTTTACAGGCTGCACATTAGATAAAACATTATTAAAAAAGTAACAGAGTAACATATAAAACTCTTTTTATTTATATTTCCTATATCAGTATATCTGTTCTTTATAATAGCCATGTATTGAGGTTTGGGCTCAGTTTTACTATTAGGTAAACACAGATGATTGTTGAGATTTGTAGAAGCATCGGAACTCTTTTAAATAAACAACTACAAAAAAGAGGGGATCATTAATCCATTTTATTTTTTATTTCTGGCAAGGTATTGTTTTTATATTAATATATTCCTACATACTCATGTAATATCCATACCTTAATTTTCTGCAAGGAATATAAGGAAGAAAATTGACCCATGTTAGGCCAACAATAGAATGTCTGAGGTTATGCAGACTGTGGCAATTATCAGTGTGGGGGAAGTAGATCCTTATAGATATCATTAAAAAATGCATTTCAAATTCATTGGAGGAAACTGAAGATGATTTACAATTGGAAGGGGTGGTATTCTTCATAATAACAAAAAAAAAAAAAAAAAAAAAAAAAAAAAAAAAACTGAGATTAACATTTCATTAGAAAATGAGTGACTGAAAAACAAAATGTGTTACTGATATGATAAATGATGTGTGTTTTTGCGCTTTTGTGATTACATAAAAAGTAAAATCCTTAATAATAATAATAATGTATTCATAAGATAAAATATGTAAATAAAAATTCTAACTTAAATTAGTCCATTTTAGTCTTCATTTTAATTTTGGGTATTTCCTTCTTCCGTCCTTTATTTAACAATGATGACGTGGCTAAGTTTGAACATAAAATTTCCAAATTGAAACCTCTATCTTAAACTAAGCTTCCGTTTTTGATAACTGTACACTTTCTTGCTTGCCTGTATCAAAGTAACACATCGCTGATCACTTTTGCTTCTCTGTATCATCTGTTGTCTGAAAATGGTGCTTGCTAAACTATCAAAAATGTAGGATGCATCATGCTTCCATAATGATATGTGAATACGATTATATGTCTAAAGAATTGTTTCATCCAGAGTATTGTTGTAATGAATATAGAAATACTAAAAATTTAATAAATTGAATTATTGTATGTAAAGAATGTTGAAAGTTAGTTCAAATTATTGTCTGCTAAAAGAGTACTGGTTCAAAAACAGAGGTCTGTTTATACTTCTGTACAGCTATTCTTTTACCCTCCTCATACAAAATAAATGTGAAGGCTTCCATCTTATAAATAATGTTAATTTTTTCAGTAACAAATAATTTTAAGTACAATTCAGGCTTATTCAGTACATGATAAGAAGCTGGACAAAATTTAGTGAACAACTTGTCTTCGTTGCCAATCTTGTGATACACAGCCAATAATGTATGGCGGATGCTATTAAGCTAGGCTGAAATTATACTTTACTGATTCTAAGAATTTTTAGATAGACTGCACTGCTCCTTAATCTTCTAATTTGATACAGCTTATTATTTTTTGCAGACTGTTATTATTACAGCAATTTTATGAAAATTAAAGCCTGAACTTTTGATTATGTCAAAAAGAGTAGAGCAATTCTGGAGCTGCAACAGGATCTACAAAGCGAAAGCATGTTTCGATGTCCATTAAAAAGGGGAATTGCTAGAAAAAATGGATAAAGGCATATCAATCTCAAAAATTATGCGAGGAGTATGGCATTGTAAAATCAATTGTACATAAAAAAGAAAAAGGAATTTTTTATGGATTCCGACAACCCACTCACAATGAATAATAGAAAAATTGCTTGTTATGCTGGAAGTGACGATCATGACAAAGTGATGATTGAATGGGTCAAGCAACGTCGCAACGAGGGTGTACCATTGAGGGTTCCAATGCTAATGGCTCAAGCCAAAATATTTTATGAAGAAATGAACCTAAAAACCGAGTGCACATATTCGACAGGTTGTTTAACCAAGTATAAAAATTGCCATATTATAAGGCAATTAAAAATTTCAGGTAAAAAAGCTTCAGCTGAAATTGAAGCTTCTGAACTTTTTTGTGGATGAATTCATTGAACTCATTACTAGTAAAAAATTATTTGCAGAACAAATTTACAATGCTCATGAAACTGGTCTTTTCTGGCAATATGTACCACGAAATACCTTGGCAACTTCTACAGAAAAGGCTCCAACTAGTGTAAAAAATTACAGAGACAAACAATTTTAGCACGTGAAAATGCTGCATGAACGCATAAATGCAACCTTTTCATAATTGGAAAAAATACCCGGCCTCAAGCATTTAAAGGAGTAATGATTTTCTCTGTTATATATCATGCAACTAAAAGAGCATGTATGACACAAGCATTAATGAATGATTGGCATGAAAATCATTTTATACCCGAGGCTCAGTAACATTTGAATTCAGTTGTTTTTGGAATGGATTTCCAAGGAATTTCAGTCAATATAGCAAGCAGTATGTGCTGTTCCTTAACTTTAGAATTTGATCCAGCTTATTATTTTTGCAGGCTGTTTTTATTACAGAGATTTTATGAAAATTAAAGTTTGAAATTTTGATTATGTCAAAAAGAGTTTATAAAAGCATGTTTTGATGACCATTAAACAAAAAGTGGTATTGCTGCAAAAAAAATGGATAAAGGTATATCTGTCTCAAAATTATGCGAAGAGTATGGCATTAGAAAGTCAACTGTATATGACATAAAAAAAACAGAAAAGGGAACTTTCTGAATTTTTTGCAAAATCCACTTCATTATGCTAAACATAAAGATCATGACGAAGTGATGATTTAATGGGTTGGACAGCGTCACAGCCAGGGTGTGCCATTCAACAGATTGAGTGCTTATGGCTCAAGCTAAAATATTTCATTGCGAAATGAACTTAAAAACTGACTAGATATATTCGAAAGGTTGGTTAACCAAGTTTAAAAATCTCCATGGTATAAGGCAATTAAGAATTTTAGGTGAAAAAGCTTCAACTGACACTGAAGCTGCTGAACTGCTTTCAAATGAATTAATTAAACTCATTAATAGTGAAAAGTTATCTCTAGAACAAATTTACAGTGCTGATGAAACTGGTCTTTTCTGGCAATATGTGCCTCAAAATATGTTGGCAACCTATATAGAAAAGGCTGCAACTGGTGTCAGATT